GAGAGAAAAATAACTGAGATAAGGTCCTAATTTGCTAAATTTTAAATTAAAGCTGGGCATGGAAGCTCACATTTATAATCTCAGCATTCTGAGAGGCTGAGGTAGAAGCATCACAAATTTGCTAACCCAGATTATGCAATCTGGGCAATTTATTTATGTAACAAGACCCAGTATCAAAAAATGGAAAAAAAAAAAATAAAGTGGGGGGGCCTGCTGGAAATGGTGGAGCATGCCTATAATGCTAACACATGGGAGGCTGAGGCAGGAAGGATCGCCATGAGTTTGAGGCCATGTTGGCTTACATAGTGAGTTCAAGGGCAGCTGAACTACATGTGGAGACCCTGTCTCAAGGAGCGGGGGGGGGGGGGGGGGGGGAGAAAGAGATGGACCTGCTGTGTAGCTCAGTGCTTGCTTAGCATGTGTGTGGCTCTAGGCATGATCTACAATGTTGCAAAATGAATGACAACAACAAAAGGAATCACTGAAATGATCCAACCTTTCCTGTTTAGCAGAAGAGGAAGAGGTGTAGAGAGAAGAGAGGACATGTTGGGGGGCGGGCTTATGTCTGAGGCAGCTGGAATTTGGACCTGCTTTTCCTTCTCACTTGCTGTGTGCTAGGGCCCCCTTACTTCACCTCCTTGCATGTGGGGTCTTTGTTTAAAAACCGAGCACAATGCCTGTCATTGACACGGCTGCTTTTTTTTTTCTTTTTGCGGAACCAGGGACTGAACTCAGACCCTTGCACTTGCTAGGCAAGTGCTTATTCTACTAAACCATCTCCCCAGCCCCATAGGGTTGCTTTGGCAGAGTATGAGAAGGAACATAAAGTGCCTGGCACACAGAGGCTTTTACACCTGATCTCTAGGATTATAGTTTTGGACCAGGTGTTCCCAAGGGTGTTTTGCAAACCCTTGGGAGTCCCCTGGGTACCAGCGTACATCTAAGGTGCAAAAGACAGACCAGTAATTTTAATGCCAGCTGGCATGAAGAGCTCATGAATGCAAACCTGAAAAGGGCAGTCTAAGTCCATCTAGGTGACATTCTGGGAAGGAAGAACTGTGGAGGCAGTGACAAGATCAGTGTTGGCCAGGAGAGGGACACTAGGTGGAGCCCAGAGAACTCTCCGGGTAGAGTAACTACGCTGCAGGATCCTATCATGCTGGGTAGCTGCCATCCAACATTTGCCAGAAGACAGAATGGACAACACAAGACCAAACCTTAATTTTTTTTTTTTAAATTTTATTTATTTATGTGTGTGTGTGTGTGTGTGTGTGTGTGTGTGTGTGTGTGGCCAGCTCAGCCCACCAGGGGGCGAGGCTGGCTGGCATGTGGTGCTGGGGGATTGAACCGCGGTCCCTGTGCTTTGCTAAGCTTGTTCTAAGTAGGAGCTTTAGACCACAGAGCCAGCTCACCAGCCCCCAAACCTTAATGTTAACTATGGGCTTTAGCCAATGAAATGTACCCATATTCAGGGCCAAGATGATAGCTCGGTGGCATAAGCACCTGCCTGGCAAGTGCAAGGTCATGAGTTTGCTCCCCGGTAACAAAAAAAAGCATCTGCATTGGTTCATCAATGATAGTGAAAGTGAAAGTTGCTAGTAGCTGGGGCAGCACAGGTTAGAGGGATATATAGGGGAACTCTGTACATTCCATTCAATTCTCCTATAAACCAAACACTGGTTTTTCACTTTGCTTTTTTTTTTTTTGGCATATGATCATGCTATGTAACTCAGGCTGGCCTCAAACTCACGATCCTCCTTCCTCAGTGCTGGAGTCACGGGTGTGTGCTCCCGCATCTGGCACCCTAAAACTGGTTTTAGGAAGTCTACTTAATCCCAGCTCTCTGGGAGGCTGAAGCAGGAGGATCTCAAATTCTAGCACAGACTCAGTAACACAGCTGTTTAGCAAAAATTTGCTACAAAATAAAATCAAGCTGGGTATAGTGGCACACACCTATGATACCAGCATTTAGGAGGCTGAGGCAGGAGGATCACTATGAGTTCAAGGCCAACCTGAACCGCATAGTAAAACCCTATCTCAAAAGAAACCAAAATTAAAAATAAATAAATAAATAAATAAATAAATAAGGATGAAGTGGGGAATGTAGCTCAGTATGAAGAGCCTGGGTACATAATAAATTGCAATACAAAATTTTAAAAAACCTATACAAAATAAAAAACCCAGTACAAAATAAAACAAAAAAGAGTCTTCCACTTGTTAAGCTTTGATGTATTAGCAAAGAAAAATAATCACAATTATCTGAAAATACTAATAAAATACTCTCTTTTCCAAGTATGTGTCCTTGTGAGGCTGCATTTTCTTTATGTGCTTCATCTAAGGGAATATTCCAGAAGAGAGTGACCGCAGATGCGCTGAGAATCCAGCAGCCTTCTATTAAGCCAAACACTAAAGAGATTTGCAAAAATGTAAAATGCTACTACTCTGCTATTTTCTTGTTGTTTTGGAAAATATAATTATTTTTTCATAAAATCTTTTAAGCTATAATGGGTTCCTTGTTTTTTTAGACGAATTAGTAAATACATTAAAAGTGTTTTTCTTGCTGTGTGTGGTGGTGTGTGGAGGACGGCCTGAGCAGTTCTCCTTGAAAGAAGAGTGATGGATTGGCTTCATTCTGGCTGAGCCTGACCCTATTTCTTTGTATTGATATGTACTGAGCTGGCTGGGACTTCTCTTTATCCTTTCAGTTGGCCTTAAGCAATGCATACTGGTCTAGCTGAGGTGCTGGTGGTAATTTTTGAAGACAGTGTGTGTGTTTCCCTGATAACCCACAGCTGCTGCTCTCCAATATGAGCCGGGTCGAGACAGGACGAAGAGCCGGTGCTCCCCCTGTTTGCTGGGATTGAGGCTTGAGATAGAGACTATGACTTCCTGGGGCTTGAAAGATTACACGTCAGAGCTGAAGCACCAGACCCTCGAAACATTAGATACTATCTCAATAGCATAATGCAAAGTACTCTCTGCATATGGCAGAGGTAAGTGTAGACCACCCACCTAACCCAGCTCACAGTAATCACCTATTTCCCACAATTCTCTTCCTCAAGCCACTCCTCGAATAAAACCTGGGTGTGGCCTTGGGTCGGTCTCTTGATTCCAGAAAGCCATTTTCATGGCTGGACTTAGGGCCCCTTGGTTCCCCCCAAATTATATATATATATATGTCTTAGTGTCTTTGTTTTCACTGTGGGTTGTACTGGGAGTGGTAGATTGGAATTAACTTGGTGGGATTCCAATAGTGTATTTTGGGGATGATAAATCTAGACTTCTTGGGCCAAGACAAGAACCAGGAGGGGACTACTACAGTGGTACATGCCAGTAAATCTAGCACTCGGGAAGCTGAGGCAAGAGGATCATTTTGAGTTCAAGACCAGTCTGGCTACAATGTGAGCTCAAGGCCAATCTGAAATGAATAGCGAGACCCTGTCTCAAAAAGACAAAAACAAACAAAAATTGTTTTTCTTTAGCTTTCATTCTGACTAGGGTAACTATGAATAGATATAACCCACCTAAACAAATGTCTTTGGGGTTCTCAGTGATGTTGAAGAGGATACACATGTCCTGAAACCTAAATGTGTGACAGTCGCCACAGTTGGGGCTCTGTTGACAGAACCCAGAGACCCCAGATGGGTGGCCCCAAGCATGCCACCGTGCCTCTGACGGTCTCCTGTCCTTGCTGGGGCCACATGTGGTATGCAGGGTGAGCAAGCAGCCAGAAACTGATACTGAGCCCACCCTGTCCTGTGGGCAAGGCAGGGGCAGCGGAGAGGGCCACAAGGGGCTTGGGACAGCCCCACCCAATGTCCTATCTCACAAGCGGTGCAGGCTGGACCTGGAAGCCCACCAGCATCCTGGCTGCCTGGTTGCTCTTGCTGTATTTGTAGAGATGATGCAGCTGCTTGGCTCCTAGTTCCGAGAAGAGGGAGATGAACCGCCAGAACATCCTGCAGGCAGAGACTGGGCTGGGAGACTGCGTCACTGGCCCTTTCCTCTAGCGTTTGTGTGCAGAGGGCCCCAGCTAAGGAAAGATGGGCTGTATGCAACCTCCTTGGGGGGACAGGAGGTGCGAATGAGCACCTGCTCGTTCAGAGGTCCCTTTTCCCAGGGAGCAGGGGAAACTTGGGTCCACTTTAGCATCTTCTCAGCTGTCTTGGGTGGCAAGAGTGACAACTCTGTCCACCCTCTGTCCCAACCAGAATCCAGGGTTTCACTGTGTTGCTCAGGCGGGCCTTGAACTTGTCATCCTCCTGCCTCAGCCTCCCAGGGTGCTGGAATGACAGATATGTGCCACCATGGCCAGTGTGACCTTAGGCAAGGTGGGGTGGCCCAGATCAGCCATAGGGAAAGGGCAGGGAGGCCATCCTACTTCTTCCAGTGCTTGATTTCCCAGGCACGGCAGTAGAGTTGCAGAAATGTGTTGATGCGGTCCCCCAGGACCACGAGGCTCCGCTTCATGTGCTTCAGCCTCTTCTTCTGTGGAAGGTTCTTGGGCGGGTACAGCTTTTGCAGGAAGTGCTTCCTTGGCCTGAGGTATTCTTTACATTGAAGAGGTACGGGCAAGGTGCGGGCCATAGGGGAAAGGAAGAGGCAGACAGGCTGAGCTTCGTGATGGCAGACTGGCGCCGCTGCAGCCCTTAGTGGCCCAGGAGGTGCCCTTTGTGCTCAGCAAGGAGGAGCCCCACCCTTGCCCCTCCATGTCCATCCAAAGTGTGACAAGGGGGTGATGAGCTCTGGGCCTGAGGCCTGGCTGTCCAGTCTTCACAGGGGACAAACACAGGCTTCCGGGAGGACTGTACTCACAATCTTGAAGGTGTCCGCATCCAGGCCCTTGGCATGGTAGACAAGCATCCTCTGCCGAGGATGGCTCCAGAGCTGCTCCCCAGGTGGGGCACAGTTGTCACCTGGGGAGGTGCATGGCACCCAGGAGCAGTGTGAGCAAGCTCAGTCCATTCCGTTCTCCTAGTCACCTCTTTCTCAGCCCAGCACTAATGTGTGCCAAAAGACGTGTCTCTGAGCACCTCCACTTAGACAGCCTAGAATAGGCTAAGTTTCTTCCTCCTCCCTTTTTTCTTGGTACTAGGAATTCAACCCAGGGCCTTGGCACTGAGCTACATCCCCAGCTGTTTAGTTATTTAATAAGTTGTTTATTTGGTTTATTGAGGCAGAGCTACACTATATAGTTCTGTCTGGCCTGAACTCACTACGCAGCCCAGGCTGGCCTGGAACTTGCAACAATCCTCCTGCCTTAGCCTCCCAGAGTCCTAGAGTTACACTTGTGGGCCTGGCACCTCGCTACCCACTTCAGTTATAACAAGCATAGCACATTATACAAGGTAACTAGGTGAAGTTTTGTTTTTGTTTTTGTCTTTTTGGGACAGAGTTTCACTATGCAGTTCAAGCTGGCCTTGAGCTCACTTTGTAGCCCAGGCTGGTCTCGAACTCTCAATGATCCTCTTGCCTCAGCCCTCTGAGTGCTGGGATTACAGGTGTGTGCCACCACACCAGGCTTATAGGTGAAGGTCCTGATGACCATTTTGTCATTATCTCTGCTCTCAGATGAGCTCACTAGCAGTGACTGGGGAATAAGCAAGGGGTTCGGGGTGTGTTTTTGTTTTTATTTTTCATTTAGTGAACACTGATTGATCACCCAAGCCTCAGACCCACGGCTTTACATCTCTGACTTCAGGGCTGTGTCCTGCTACAAATGGGCCCTCAGTAAGACAGGGTGATGCTGATGACAGGAGATCGTTTAACTAGGAAAGGAGGACAGAGAGCGCAGAAGATCGGTGGAAACAAAGCAACTGAAAGCTGCAAAACTGAAGCACAGAGTCCCATTGCTGCACCCGCACTTGTAACAGGTCCTTCCAAGGCCGCCAAAAGTGTGTATCAATTGTGACTGTTCAGAGGGAACCAGGAGACCAGTGCTGAAGCCACTCTGAAGGGCAGCAGGGAAAGGCTGTGAGGTGAAGGGAAGGGGTGGGACAACCCTGCTCAGGTCACTTCAGAACCACCCTGAGCCACACCAATGCCCACCCCCGTGCGCGCGCGCGCGCACACACACACACACGCACACGGCTATAACACGTGTATCCACACACGTGTCTCTATGTCACCTTGAATCTTCATGACTAACAAAAAAATGGGATCCAAACACTGCTCTGGGAATACATGGCTTTGATCAACCTCTGTTTTCCATCTCTTTCTTTTTAAAATTTTATTTATTTAGTGCATTTTGGTTTGCTTTGCTTTGCTCTGAGACAGGATCTCACTATGTAGCTCAAGTAGGCCTCAAACTCACAGTGATCCTCCTGCCTCAGCCTCCCTAGTGCTGGGACTTACAGGCATGTGCCACCATGCTCACGTTTAATTTTTATTTTTATCAGTATATGTTTGCAGCATATAATGATTGTATTCATCATGAGAGGTGAGGCGTGCACAGAACTGCTGTGCCCCTAGCCCAACTAGGGGTGGGAGTCAGTGACCTTATCTTGTCCTCTGGGTCCCTGGCTAACTCACTTGCCCATCTTTTTTTCTTCTTTCCTCCCATGAATTTCAGATTCCCTGCTTTCCCAAGGATGAGGTCAGCCTCTCAGGTCTGGATGACGCTGGCCTCCTGGCCTCGGACTTAGCCTCCTTCACCTTCTCCAGGGGCCTGTCACCTTCACGCCCTGGCCCAGCTTGGGCCTCCATCCCAGCAGGTGGGCCCGAAGGCTCCAGCCTGGCCTCCTTGTGTCCCCTCTGGCTCCCAACCTACTGTTCCTGAGACCTGAACGTCCTGGGGAGAGCAACTTGGCTCCAGAACTAGGAGTAAACCATGGCAACAGCCAACACAGAGCCCCACCCCTCCCAGTGCCTTCATTCCTAGGGGAGCCACGAGCTGTCCCGTGAGCCACGTACTGCACGGGGAAACTGAGCAAGAGGTGCGGTTCCCCTGGAGCTACAGCTGCCCGGGAGGGGGTCTGAAGTCCTTTTCCTGTGTGTGTACTATTCTTGCTCCCCAATTCCATCCCAAGCACAGCATCAGCAACCTTCAGGGATGAGTGAAACGCACCTCTCCAGGCCCTGTGGCCTCCACGCAGCGAGGACACCAAGCGTGGAGTTTGTGTTCGTGTAGTCAGGCCTGTGTCCAAGGGGGGCCCCGTGTTAGTGCATCAGCCCCAACGACAGCGCCCCACTCAGCCCCGTGCTCTCTGCAGCCGCCCCATGGCCCTTAAGGCCTCAGTTTCCCCGCGCCAGCCATGTCTTCCTGCCTGGAGTTCTCGGTCCGCCCCGAGCGTCGCCAGGGTCCTCAGGGCCTGCTGCGCAGCTTTCCTATCCGGGCTGACCCTGTTCACGCCCTTCCGCCCCGACCAGACCTTGTGGGAGTCCACACCACCTCCCTCCACCACCAGGAACTGGGACGCAGTGCAGGGCTGTGGGCCAGGCTAGGGCTGCAAAGGGGGCTGGAGGATTAGACGGGCCCCTCTGTGTCCCCGGACTTTTTTCTTTTCTTTTCATTTTTGTCTTTTTGAGACAGGGTCTTGCTATGCAGTTCAGGCTGGCCTTGAGCTTACTTTGTAGCCCAGACTGGTCTCGAACTTGTAAGGATCCTCCTATCTCCTCCTCCCGAATGATGGTATTACAGGTGTGTGCCACCATGCCAGGCCCAAGATTCATTTTAATCGTCCTCTGTGACATCGTGTTCTGCAAATGTCTTCGTTTTTTTTTTAGAGGGGTGGGGGTGGGGTAAAATGATCACTTGTTGTTTTAGCACTGATTCCGGATTATCCTGCAGCTATAAAAGTTTATTATGGGATTAGCCTTGCAGCAAGATCGAGGCCCTGAGATAGACTCCCAGTACTGCTCCCCCCTCCCAAATTACATTGGCAAAATCAAGAGATAAGGAGCCCTTGTTAAAGTTTTATGGGGAGCAATAGTTAGTAAGCAATATTTCAAAATATTAAGTGTACGTTCCTTGACCCACTTGTTCTCCTTCTAGAGATTAATGCTGAGAGAAGATGATGAACACTGCTACAGTAAGTGATATATTAATCAGGGTGTGGTGACGTGCCTGTAATCCCAGCACTCAGGAGGCTGAGGCAGGAGGATCATTGTGAGTTTGAGGCCAGCCTGGGCTACAGAGCAAGGTCCTGTCTCGGAAAAAAAAAAACTTAAAATAAAAAAAAAAAGTGATATATTTATTTGCTTCTGAGACAAGATCTCCTTTATAGCCCAGGTTGACCTCAAACTTGAGTTGATCTTCTTGCCTCAACTTCATTAGTGCTGGGATTACAGGTGTGCACCACTACACCCTGGCTAATGGTGATTACTTCAGAAGTAACTGAAATGTGGTATTTCTGTATATATTTTATTTATTTATTTGCAGTACTGGGAATTGAACTCTGGACCTTGCGCTTGCTAGGCAGGCAGTTATGCTGCTGAGCTATATCCCCGGCTAGGTATTTCTATGGAGGCACTAAAATCCTACTTTATGTCTACATTTATTCACATAGAAATGGGTACTAAATGATAGATTCTGGCCCTAGTATGAATTGCTGAATTATTATGGTGGTCATCTAGTGTGGCTGAAGCCCTTAGGTCATGTGACAGCTTATCTTCCCAGTCACCACTTCCTCCTTCTTCCCCATCCTAGTCCTGGATACAATTTCCTTTCACCTTTCCTGTGCACACAGGAGAGACTCCAGTCAGCTCCTTACATATAATTAAAACTGACCCTCTAACTCCACTCCTAGCACAAGTCCATAAAAGTCTCGGCTTTCTTTGTCTCAGGTCAGAGGGTCCCCCATCTGCCCTTGGTCCTCTCCATGTCTGAAGTTTATAAAGCCTTCTTTTATCTTTTTTTTTAAATTTTTTAATTTATTTATGTGTGTGTGTGTGTGTGTGTGTGTGTGTG